CCCCTCGGTACACCCCCCACACGGCCCTGAGCCATGATTCGGGAACCGGTCTCCACATGGGATCCGAACCCTCGGTGGGAGCACCGCTGCACTCCCAAGCGGCGCACTCTCCAGTGCGCCACCAGGCCGGCCCGTGTGTTTGTGTTTTGTACGAGTGGGAGAGGGTGTGAATCAGCCTTCAGTCTGATGGGGTAACCTGGGAAGAATAAGCAAAAAAGTCCAGAAAGAGGGAGCTGGCACAATGGACTGGAAAGAGCCCTGAAATCTGAGCCATCCAGACCTGAGGCACAGGGCAGGCGGCCTCTGAGAGGTTTCGGTGGAGGTGGGGGACAGGTCAGGCTGGGAGGGGCTGGAGGGGACAAGGGCAGAGCTCTCGTGTCATGGTCATGGTATAGGAGAGGCCAGGGGCCCTTTCCTAACAAATGTGTGGTCTAGGCATGTTCTTAACTACTCAGTTTCCTCATCTGTGAAACAGTCATAATGAGAATTCCTACTAGGGTTGTGTGCGGATCTAATGGGCACTTTGCCAGGTGGGATTGATCCTGCAAGGTGGGGTGGGGGCGGGGAAAGGAGAGGAGCAGAGGGCCACAGAGAGCCAGGAGGAGAAAGGGCCCAGCTGGAGCTGAAGGTACCTACAGAGGAGAGGTAGGAAGTAAACACAGAGGCTGCAGGGACAAATCACGGCAGCCTTGGCCAGAAGGGAAGTGACACCTTTTGAGCACCTACAATGTACCAAACACTTCACATGCACCATCTCACACAGTCCTTGCAATAATCTCATGGGGGGATTATTTCCTCTACTCTGCATTTGGGGAAACTGAGGCTCAGAGAGGTGCAGGAGCTTGTTCAGGCTGCCATACCAGTTCTACTTCCATTGCCTGATGTTACAGTCCCTGAGTTTGGAGCAGTAGGGAGCCACTACAGGTTCCTGAGTATTCTTTACTATTATGACCAAACAGCTTTTTCAGGAGAATGGCTCAGCTGGGAAACTCAGAGTGGGATGGGAGCTCAGGAGGCTGGATTCTTCAAAACTTCAGGAGGCTGGATTCATCCTTCCCCATGGCTCAGAGTCCCTGCCCCTCCTGTCCCCCTCCCACCCCATGATTATGCTAGCTCTCCCCTACAGGGAAGCTAACAGACGACGTGGCCGAGTTTGTGCACAGCTGGCAGGAGCAGGCCCCCAACCAGCCTCCAGGGCCCACAACCTCCTCCCCGCCTCGCCCACCATGCCTACAGCAGAGCCTGGGAGCCATGCAGGTCTGGACCCTGGAGAGAGTCCCCCCAGTTTCCTTTCCCCCACTCTAGGGCCTGGCTTGAGTTGGTTTCCTGTCCAGCTCTTGGAAAGCAATTGGCTGTAGGGCCCAGGGTGCTGGTGCCCAAGGCCCCTTTCTCTCCTCTCCTCCCTCCCACCCAAGCTGGGGTTCCATGTGGGGCTGGTGAAGTCACAGGGCTGTGCGCAGCCCTGCCAGTCCCCAGACCCGTGCCTGGCCCTTGCCCCAGGGTGTGTACGAGCGGTGTGAGGTGCTGCTGCGGCCCCCCTTTGATGCCTGCCACGCCTACGTCAGCCCTCTGCCCTTCATGGCCAGCTGTACCAGCGATCTCTGCCAGTGAGTGGGGTGGTGTCAGATTGTGGGGAACTCCTCCCAGTACTGTGGTGAGCGCTCAGCATGGGGGCCACTGAGCCTGATATCACCCGGCACTGATATATCTGCTTCCCAAAGCTCCAAAGTTCCTATCTGCCTAGGGAGGACAGAGCTTCCTCATTCAGCTGAGGCCTGGAAATGGGGCCCGACCCCCTCAGGATCACACAACGAGTCAATGGCAATGCCAGGACTAGAATCCTTCCTCAGGAATCCAGACCCGATCCTACCTTGGGTCTGGGGATCTGCACCCCTAGATGCAGTCCTGGCTCCCCTCCCCTCGCAGTTGGGTGGGGAGGAGTGCCTAAAGCCCCTGTCTGTCTCTGTGGGGTGCTGGAGGGCTGGCAGCAGGACAGGCCTTGTTCCATGTGCCTTTGGTTTCCCTGTGTAGATCAGTGGGCGATGAAGCCACCTGGTGCCGGGCACTGGCGGAGTATTCCCGGGCGTGTGCCCAGGCGGGGCAGCCCCTCCAGGGCTGGAGGACGCAGTTCCGGCAATGCAGTAGGTGCAGCTGGGTGGTGGGCAGGGAGGAGTTCACACGAGCTCTGACTTGAGGCTGTGGGTGGCATCCTCAGGCCTCAGCTCAGTGTCCTGTCCCACTCAGAACCACAGTTGCCAGAGTTTTAAGCCCTGAGTTTCCATCCTCATGTGACAGATGGGGAAACTGAGGCTTGTAGCAGGAGGGACTGGCCTGGGGCCACAGAATGAGATGAGGGTGGTGTTCAGAGTCTCCCAGACCCTTTCTAATTTCCTGGACAGCCAGTGCTCCCTCTGGGACTAGGAGATCAGGAAAACCAAAGCTGTCCCACCCTCACCCCAGGGTCTGGGGGAGGGGCTGGATCCTGGCAGAGCTGGGATCAGTAAGGAGTTGACAGACCATGGCTCCCTCCTGCCCAAGCTGTGCACTGCAAAGAGAAGGCCTTTACCTACAATGAGTGCATCGCATGCTGCCCCCCCAGGGTCTGGGGGAGGGGCTGGATCCTGGCAGAGCTGGGATCAGTAAGGAGTTGACAGACTATGGCTCCCTCCTGCCCAAGCTGTGCACTGCAAAGAGAAGGCCTTTACCTACAATGAGTGCATCGCATGCTGCCCTGCCTCCTGCCAACCCCGGGTGTCCTGCGTGGACAGTGAGATCGCCTGTGTGGACGGCTGCTACTGCCCCAATGGTACGCTAGGGATGGAAGTGGGGGTCTGGCACTATCCTCCTGGCCTGGCACAGATGGGCATGAAGCAGGGCCTCAGAGGATGCCTGCTTGTGAAGTGAATAAAGTGAGCAAACAATAAGTGAATAAATGAATGAATGGTGTAAGGGAGGTGAGGGAGGGGTAGAACTGTGGCCTCTTGCAAGATTCATCAGGGTATTTGATTTCATCAGAACTGAGCTTTTCAAGGTGGGTAGATGAGGACAGGTCATTCATTCATTTATACACACATGCATTTGTTTACACATTTGTCCATGTACAATTACTTTATTCTGTTTTTTATGGTGTGTAAATTTGCAGCACATCTATGGTGTACAACTCACTTGGCTAGGCAGAGGGTTGAGATAAAAGAAATATAAAGGTATAGGCATTGACTTTAGGGAGCAGAATCTGGTTTCAGGGATAAGACACTCATACCACTCCAGTCTGAGGTATGACGTGGTAAAGGCCAGATCAGGGATTCAGACAAGAAAAATACAGGAATGTGGTGTGGGGGAGGTTTTCAGGGAAGGCTTTCTGGAGCCTCATGTTGGTTCTAGATGCAGTGACAGGCTTTTGAGAGGTGGTGGGGAGGTTAGTTAGTGTGTAAGTTGGGGGTGGGGGGAGGTGGGATTACTGCTCAGAAGGTTTTCGTGTCTGGCCCAAGCCAAGGATTTATAGAGGAGAAAGTCTGAAAGTGGGCTCAGAGGTAAAAGGACTTGGATAAGGAGATCTTTTTTGCAGGCCTTGGGGAGCCATGAACAGTTTGTGAACAGGGGTGGAGGTGAGTTAAGTGGGCTTCTACTGCCACCTTAGGGCTGATCTTTGAGGACGGAGTCTGCGTGGCACCATCTGAGTGTCCCTGTGAGTTCCACGGGACCCTGTACCCGCCTGGCTCTGAGGTGAAGGAAGACTGCAATGCCTGGTCTGTATCCACTGCAGGGAGTGGGGGGAGGTAGGGCACTGCTGCTGGGGCTTTCCATCAGGGCTGCCCATATGGGGTCTGGAAGCCATGATGACGGGGACACTCACTCAGCATCTGTGAGTCTCAGGGGATCTCATTAGATCCAATCCATGGGGGGAGTCTCCATCACCCATTTTAGAGATGGGAAGACTGAGGACTGGAGGCAGGAGCCCTGCAATCTCCCAGCATCTAGCCCAGGGCTGGAGGGATGACCCCTTGCCTCCTTGGTCTCTGTCTTTCAGCACATGCACTGCGGGCAAGTGGGTGTGTAGCACAGCTGTGTGCCCAGGTACATCTGACCCCACCTTGGACTGTACTCCCTTCCACTGGACTCACAGGTTTTTGGGCAGGGAAGTTCTGGGGGCTAGGCCTCCTGGGGGAGCTTACTCAGTTCCATTGGCGAAACCTGCTCCCTTTATTTCCTCGGTGCCACTTTGCCTGGTTAAGGGATTGCTCCAGCCCCTGCCAGGAAGGACTTTACATGGGGTCCCATACATCTAAGGAACTTCCTGAGCTTGGAGGATTACTACTGAGACTGTCCCCAAGCTCAGGGCCTGATCTCCCCTCAGAGGGAGATCCCACTGACCAGGGCTCTCAAAGGGAAGGCTTGGCCTCCTTACACTGCTCTGGTTCTGGAGGACAGGGTCCTGTGTCCTCTTCATGCTTGGAGCCTGCAGGGTGGACACAGCCCTCTTGGGGCAGCTCGCATGGGTCAACGGCCTTCCTCTGCCCCTCAGCTGAGTGCTCAGTCACTGGCGACATCCACTTCACAACCTTTGATGGCCGCCGGTACACGTTCCCTGCCACGTGTCAGTACATCCTGGCCAAGAGCCGTTCCTCGGGCACCTTCACAGTGACATTGCAGAATGCCCCGTGTGGCCTGGTAAGAGCTGGGGACTTCTAGGCCCAATCCACCTAGCTACCCCATCCACCACCCCCTAGAGAGACTGGAATTTAAGGCAGGGCCCTGGTCTTTCCATGGCCCACCCACCTGTTACCTCTTCTCTCTGGGTAGAGGCAGGGGCAGGGGACTGGGTTCTGGCCCCAGCTGAGAGTCACTTCCCTTTCCTGGGCCTCAGTGTTTTAAAAAATCTCTAAATTGGGTCTAATTCAACTTTATCGTCTCTGCTTCATTGGATTGTACCTTTAACATCTCTGCATGCATTCATTAATTCATTCATTTAGCAAACACTGAATGCCAATTTGTACCGGAAGCCATGCTGGGTCTTGGAGACTAGGAGACTGGAGTCATTAGACTTGACTTTGCCTTCCTGAGGCTTATAGATTGGTCAGTGAGGCAGGCAAGTGAACCTATAACCCACCATGTTATAGCAGCTGTGAGGACATAGGAGAATACAGGGTAGACTTCCATGGAGGAACTTTTCATTGTTTTTATTTTACCTGGGTATTGAGCAGCATGGAGTTAAAAATGGATCAGGAAAGGCTTCCCGGAGGGGGTGACCACTGAGCTGTGACAGCCACCTGTGAATGAACTGAGAAAATGGCCACCTTGCAGGCTTGGAGTACAAGATGTGTGTTTGTCTCTCAGTGGCGACTGCCTTGTCCCTGGGCTGACTGTCCTCAGTGAACCCTGCAAGCCCTGGTCTGGACTATGCCCAAGCTCTTCTCTGTACCAGAGAGCAAGGGCTCACACCCACAGCCAGGGCAGCTGCCCCCCAGTCCTGCCTCCCTGCTGGCCTTGCTCTGGCCCTCAGCACTGAGGGCCCTGAGTGTGGGCAGACATCAGCTAGAGGTGCCCCTCTCTGGCTCTGGGGACACAGACTGGGTGGAAGGCTGGGCTTTCTTCCTCTTTTGGCCTGAGTGACCCCCTCCCCTCTCTCTGTCAGAGAACGCCGTACCCTGCCCTTGGCTGCCCTCTGAGTCAGGAGACTGCTTGCCCTCAAAGGTGGGGTCACTCCTATTCATCCTGAGGGTGGCAAAGGAGAAGGGACAGCAGACAGACACAGCCCAGCTGGACTCTTTCCCACTCACGGAATTCTAGTCTTAGAATACCTGAGGGCTGTGGGGCTTTGGGGCTTTCTTAGTCAACCTTCCTTTCTCCTATGTCCTAGATAGGTGGCCAGCCAGCCTCAGCCTGAGGTAACCCACTCCACTGCTGGACAGTGCCTCCTGATAGTGGGTTCTTTCTACCATGAGCCAGGTCTCCTCCTGTGACTTCAACCACACTGAGGAACCGATGGAGGGCCAGCACTTGCCAGTGCAGTGCTGGGCACAGTGCAGGTTACACAGATGCATCATTCCCTGATCTTCCCCTCCAGGAGCTCACACCCTGTAGGGGAGGCCAGTGGTACTGATTCAGACCCCTTCAGTATGAGATACAACAGGATTAGTGCCATAAGAGGATTAGTGCCATAAGAGGGGAGTTCTGTGGAGGAAGAAATAGTCCTACAGATCAGAAGAAAGGATCAGGCAAAGCCTCATGGCAGAGGTGGCATTTGAGCTGAGTGACCTAAAAAGTGCACCTGAAAAGACAGAAATAAGATATGTATGTGTGAGGATGGGAAGAAGGTCCCTCCAAGAGTTGATTAGATTGTATGAGAAAAGCAATGAGGTTGGAATTCTAGAAGTCATTAAGGCAGATGCAGAAGGACTTGGCAACTGACTGTCTGGTAAAGTAGGAGGTGTGTGTGAGAGAGGAGGAAAGTCAAAGATGAAGCTGTCACTTCAATTCTGGGTGACCAGGAGGGAGTGTGTTGGGGACATTAACAGAGAGGAGGAGCAGGAAGAGGATGCTACAATATTTGCACAGTGCTTTGAACTTTTGACTAATCACTTTTGCACACAACATCTAATTTAAGGCTCAAAATACCCCCATGTGGTAGTTATTATTATTCCCTCCATTTAAAATATGATGAGACAGTCCTGGAGAGGCTTGGGGCTTTCTTGACGACCCACCCCAGAATCATTGCGGTGCTTACAGTCTACAAAGTGTTTTTTCAGTAGACTTTATTTTTTAGAACAGCTTTAGATTTACAGAAATATTGCAAAGGTGGAATTCCCATATATTCTACAGCCAGTTTTCCTTATTAACATCTTACATTAGTATGGTACATTTGTTACAAATAATGAACCAATATCAGTACATTATCATTAGCTAAAGTCCATACCTTATTCCTATTTCCTTAGTTTTAACCTAATATTTTTTTCTGTTCCTGCATATAGTCAGTTTTCCTCCTTAAGCTCTTCTTGGCTGTTACAGTTTCTCAGACTTTTCTTATTTATGATGACCTTGAAAGTTCTGTGGACTACTGGCTCCTCTATTGGAATTTGTTTGATGCTTTTTCTCATGGTTAGACTGGGGTTATGGGTTTTGAGTAGGAAGATCACAGAGGTAAAGTGCCATTTTCATCACATCTTTTCAAGGGTGCATATTATCAACATGGTTTATCACTGCTGATGGTGACATTGATCATCTGGCTGAGGTGCTTGTCAGGTTCCTCTACAGTAAAGTCACACTTCTCCCTCCTTTCTATATTGTACTCTTTGGAAGGAAGTCACTATAGGCAGCCCACACTTAAAGAGAGGGGTGCTATGCCCCTCCTCCTCGAAGGCAGGGAATCTACATAAATTATTTGGAATTTTTCTGCATGGGAGATTTCTCTCTTTTCCTTCATTTATTTATTCAATCATTTATTTACATAAGCATGAACTCATGGAAATTTATTTTGTACTTTGAGTTATAATCTACTACTTTATTTTGTTATTCAAATTGTTCAGCTTTGGCCATGATGAGATCTTTCAGTTGGCTACTGTGTCCCTTTGACATACCTCATGAATGTGTGTGTGTACATGTGTGTGCACTTCTTTACTTTCTGGTCCAAGATGCACCAGGCTCATCTTGTACGTTTCCTGTCCCAGTTCTCTTATCATTCATTTCTCCCAAAATACGGGCTTTCCTGGTTCCTTTTATTGGAGGATGGTACTAGAAACCAAGATCTTGGCACTCTGTGTGCTCATTGCTACTGGAGCATCATTTCTTTAGGCCCTCTCAGCTGACAGAGAAAGGAAATATATGTACGAGGGGTCCTCACAAAGTTCATGGAAGGATTAGTATTAGCTTTTAACTCAAGTTTTCCACAATCTTTTTGAAGTGCCCTTGTATAATCATGTACATCTTTGTGTAACCAATATGTATACACACACATCTATAAATATTTCTCTATATAACCATCTGCACAAGGATACATCAAAAAGTTCATGGAAAGATTCATATTACCTTTTATTTCTACTTTCCCATGAACTTTTTGAAGTACTCTTTATATTGATATGTGCTAAACATGAGTTCATATTGATGTTCCATCTCTAATCCATTACCATATGGATCACTATAACCCCCCCCACCTCCACTTGCTTGTCTGTAAACCCCCACTCCAACAGTAAGAAACCTGGCTTCCAAAGGTCAACACCTTTCTTCCTACCCCATTCAGTAAGGTTGTTTCATACATATGTAATACAGTAAGATTCTTTCGACACAGTCTTCGTTCCATTCTGAGATCCTCTCCTGTATGGTTGTTTAAAATTTGCATACATTAGGGTTTACTCGTGTTGCTGTAAAGTTCTGTGGGCTTTAATAAATTCAACCTCCAGAGTATTTCATGCATATTTTTAAATCCGTTCCCAACCAGATAGGACCAACCAAGTATTGTATCTCTATTTTACAGGATAGAACTGGGGTCTGGAGAAGTTAAATAACTTCTTTAAGGTCTCATACCTTTCATTGACATCAGGACTTGAACCTGAAACTTTGACTAAAGGGTGTGGGCTTTCTTCTTGCACCAGTGATATGTCCAGAGGTAAAAGATGTGTGAGTTGGACAAAGAAGGTGATATTTTAGACACAATAATTTTGGGCCGTTTCAGGAATTTTCTGTTCCCCTGGGCAGGAACTCTGAAGGATAGTTGTGGCTTGTTGCATGGTGTCTTTGAAAAGTTTCAAGCCCTGATTTCAATGCACTTGATTCTATTTGGGCCGTTTCAGGAATTTTCTGTTCCCCTGGGCAGGAACTCTGAAGGATAGTTGTGGCTTATTGCATGGTGTCTTTGAAAAGTTTCAAGCCCTGATTTCAATGCACTTGATTCTATTACCCTCCTGTTACTCTTTCTCTGGGTGTCTGTTGGACTTAGGATAAAGTCCAAAAATATTGCAAGGTGCTGCCTAAGCTGTTCCCTGCCTACCTCTTCAATCTTATTTTAAACCACTTTGCCCAGTGGGCTCTGATCCCTCTGGTCTTCTCTATGTCCTTGAATGCATCAAATGCCTTCCTGTGACAGGGTTTTAGTACAGGCTATTCCCTCTGTCCAGATGTCTCCTTCCTACCTGTCTCTCTTTGCACAGGTAGGTTCTCCACATCCTCAGACTTCAGCTCAAAGGTCACTTTTTTTTCTGTGCCTCAGTTTCAGATCTACAAAATAGGGATTAGATATTAGTAGTACTTACCTAATCAGATTGCTGAGGATTAAGTGAAAGAATATATATAACAAGATTAGAACATAACCTGTACATAGTAACTCCATATTAAAGTTAGCTGTTATTATAATATCATGATAATATTGTGGTGTTATTAAGGCTTTTATTATTGTTATGATTATTTTTACATTATTATTATCATTCACAAGGATGATCTTTCCTACCTCTGCAGACTAAGTCTGGTTCCTTCATATGCTTTCCTAGCACCCTATACCTGCTTGCAGCACTTATCCCAATTGTAATTAAACAATCAACTTTATAATTACTTATTTAATGTTTGTGTCCCATGCAAATATCTCTTTGAGGACAGGGATTATATCTGTCTTGTTTATCACTGTGGCTATAAAGATTGGTACAGTGTGTCTTGCACACAGTAGATGCTCAGGAAATGTTTAAATGAATGGGTGTGTGGATATCTTCCTATGGAAGGGAGGTATGAATGGGCCCAATGTGTACTACCCATTTAGGAGGTGAACAATCTGAGGCTCAGAGAATATTAGCTCATTTCCTGCCTGCCTGTCAGTGTAGTGCAGGATGTGATACATAGAAAGAGCTATATAAACACACATAAAAGAATGAACTTAAGGGGCCGGCCCGGTGGCGCACTGGATGGTGCGCCACTTGGGAAGCGCGGCGGCGCTCCCGTCCAAGGGTTCGGATCCCACATACAGACCGGCTCCCGCTCACTGGCTGAGCGAGGCGCGGGAGCAACGCCGAGGGTTGCGATCCCGTTGCCGGTCCCCGGTCCGGTACGGGGGCAACACTGAGGGTTGCGATCCGTTGCCGGACACGGAAAAAAGACAAAAAAAAAAAAAAAGAATGAACTTAAAAGTTATGGGTGTGGTCAGGTTGGGGATGTCGGTGTTTTTGAGGCTATCTGAGTTCCATCTCTGCTCTGTGTCTTTAGACAACCTGAGAGTCGACTATCATTTCTATTACTGTTATCCCAGCTCTGCTACCAACCTTCTCCAATCTGAGCCGCTGCCTGCTGGTTTCTCAGATGAGGGCATTTGGTTAGATGATCCCTGATATCCTCTAGGGCTCTGTCTGTCATTCTGAAGAGCCTACCCCTCAAACTGGGGCTAGGTCTCTGTCCTTGGAGGGCTCTCTTGGAGCCAGCAGGACAGACAGAACAGCTCTGCCCCATTGTTGGCTTCTCTCTCTCCAGAACCAGGATGGAGCCTGTGTCCAGTCGGTGTCAGTGATTCTGCACCAGGACCCTCGGAAGCAGGTGACGCTGACCCAGGCAGGGGATGTTCTTCTGTTTGACCAGTACAAGATCACTCCACCCTACACAGACGGTATGGCTTGGGGTGGGCAAGAAGGCTAGTCGGGAGCTGGCTGTTCTGGCCTCTTTTCCCAGGTTCCTCTGGACAAAAGCACTACTATATGGGCATGAACACATATTCTAGTACTAGGTTGCTCAGGCTAGAGGACGCTTTGTTCCCAGGAATGTGGATTCCTAAAATGTGTCTTTGTCCTCATCCCAACATGACAGTGGGCTTCACAGCAGTATGATGGCTTCTCCTAACATTAGCATATCCATGGGGCAGTTTCCCATTCTGAGTCTCAGAATTTGTTTATTAATTACTTGCTATCCTGTCTTGATTCCACAAGGTACTTACAGGTAGCTCATAGGAAACACTTATAACAAAAGTGGCAAGACTATGAAGAAATAAAAACCCAGAACCAAATGAAGATTTTTTTTAAAAAAGAAAGAGAGAAAAATGAAAAAAGGAAAAAAAAAATAAGGGCTCAAGATTGAGAGGAGTGGGGATGCATTGGCGGTTAAAAGGCTACAGAAATGCAAGCCATAAAAGGTGTAAAATTTGCTACAATTAAATCTAAAATTGTTTTGTAAGTTTCCACAATAAAATTGTATTGTGGCTGTTGTGAAGAGAGTGAGTAGTTACAGAATTCTCCTTGCGCTGGAGGAGGAGCAAAGCTTTCAATGGCGCTTGATGCTAAAAGAAGTTTCTCTGCCACCGTGGTAGGTTATCCCTCGGTCCTGATGTCATTAGTGAACAGGGTTTCCTGAACAGCCCCCAAACCAACCCCATGGAAGGGCTTCACTGGGTCTGAAGACGGCTGGGTGTGGGGATCAGAGTGCGCCAGGCAGGTGGTGACGGTGGGTGGGGTGCGCATTGGCTGAACTTCCCCCTTGGCTTCCGTGCCCAGACGCCTTTGAGATCCGGAGGGTGTCCTCCGTGTTCCTGAGAGTGAGGACCAACATGGGAGTGCGGGTGCTCTACGACCGCGAGGGGCTGCGGCTCTACCTGCAGGTGGACCAGCGATGGGCAGAGGATACCGTCGGCCTCTGTGGCACCTTCAACGGCAACACGCAGGACGACTTCCTGTAAGTGCCCCTGCCCCGGAACCGGAAGGAGAGGGGGAGCCCAGTATCCAGAGGCACTGACTAAGGATGTCCCTGCTAAGGGCCCTCGCTGTGTCTGCTGTGCAGCATTAATGATTTATTTCACCTACCTTTAAATTTAAATGTATGTTTCATTTATGTTTCTATTCTTTTCTTTTCTTTCCGCTGGCTGGTACAGGGATGAATCCTGGATCTTGGTGTTATCAGCACCATGCTCTAATCAACCAAGCTAACCAGCCAGCCCTTTCATTTATGTTTCTTGAAAGCAGTGGTTCACAGACTTCTGGTTGCGGGAGAGTCACCTGGGGAGCTTGTTAAAATGCTGATTACTGGGTTCCACTTCTCAAGAATTTGATTTAGTGTGGGGCCTGAGAATCTCACTTTTGATAAGCACAACTGTGATTCTAGTATATGAAGTCTATGGACCATACCTTGAGAAATCTGTTGTATAGCGAAGTTTTAAAACTGAGGGACTCAGGCTGCATTTGATTTGTCCATGGTTTTGCTTGTTTTAATTGACTGTGAGCACCTTTAGGTGAGTGTAAGCTTCTAGAGAGCTAAGGACACCAACATTCCCACTTCCTATCCCACCAGGCCAATCTGACCCATATACCTTTCCTATCTGGCGCTTGAAGGCTTTTGAGCTTTCACCCTGTGAGCCTCCCAGTGTTCAGGGGAATGCTGTTTCCCATGGGCTGACAGAGAGTTGAAAGACTCTTTGGGCATGGTTTAGGAAGTTGGGAGGGGACAGGATCAGACTTTCCAGAAAGGAGAACAAAATGATGATCCTGAAAGCTGGAGGTTCTGGCCAGTCCTTCAGTTGCATACATTAGGTGACATAGAAGGAAACACGGGGGACATTCTTTAGCCAGAAATGAGAATTCAGATTTTCTGTGCAAAACAAGAAAAAGAAAGAGCTGAGAGATTTCAATGCATGTACATATAAAGATATAGCTTTCTATTTTCTCTTGCCTGGTGGCGCTGATGTTAGGACAGCTGGCCAAAATGGTGGGGCAGACCTTGGTTTAGTGTGTGGGCTCCTTGCCACTCTCCTAAATGTGAACTCTGGGTAGGAATATTGCTCTATGTAATGTGAGTGCTCTCACTGCCTTGGAACAATATGGGCATGGTGGGGAGCCAGGTTCTTCCACTCTACCGCCTACATTGGCCTTTGGTGACTCTTGGAGACTGGCAATGTCTATGAAACATGCTTGTCCTCTTTCCTCCCTGCACTGCCCTCGTGTGACCATTTCCTACCTAGAGACCCAAAAGGAAAGCCAAGAAGTTTTCAGGAACTTCCCGTGGAGAAGGGAGGAGGGAGGAAGTCTTAACTCAGTGAGGTTTTGTGCTCTTCATGATGTCCTTGTTTCTCTCTTTCTGACATGAAGAGCCGGGAGTGGGTGGTGAAGGTGAGCAGTGTGTGGTCCCAAGTCCATTTTGAGACCTTTTGAAGCCTGTTAAATGTGAATAATGTGTGGTTACTTGTGCTCATATCCATAGTTGTATGTGTTTGAATGTGGCTGCATAGACTGTCTTGGCTGTTTGCATGTATGGCATATATTTGTGCTGTGCCCATGTGTGTGTATGTTGAGAATGTGTGCAAGTGGTTTATTTGGGCCTATACATGTTACACGTTTGGGTGAGCACCAGTGTGCCTCTGAGTGTGTGCTCATCACTCTGTGTGTGTGTGTGTGTGTGTGTGTGTGTGTGTGTATGAGCAACTAGGTGCTCATCTGAGTGTGTGCTATTTGTGCCCCCGGGTCCACATGGACAAGTGTGTGACTCTCACAACAAGTGCTGTGCCATGGCTGCAGGTCCCCAGTGGGTGTACCCGAGAGTACCCCACAACTCTTTGGCAATTCTTGGAAAACACTATCTGCCTGCTCCCCACTGGTCTCTGGCTCCCCATTGGACCCCTGCGATGTGCACCTGCAAGCTGGTGAGGTTGGGGGGGGCGACGGAAGGGGTGAGAGGGGTGGCTTAGAGAGAGATGAGATGGGAACTCTGGGCATGAGGATGCAGGCCAGATTGGTAGGAGTCATAAGAAAAGGAGGAACTGTAGAGAGGGGACAGGAGAGAAGGTGAAGGCTAGGCAGACAGGAAGCTTCATGTTCCACCACTGTCACGTACACACACATTTAAACCGGCTCCCCCATCTCAGGGCAAAAGCCACTGTCTTTCACATGGCCCCACCAGGCCCTCCCCTCTCTGCCCATCACCTCAGCTCACCTCTACTCCTGCTGCCCTCCCCTCTGCTCTGGCCACTCTGACCCCCTTGCTGTCCTTCCTACAGCCAGACCTGCTCTCCTCTCCAGGCCTTTGTGCTTGCTGTCGCCTACCCCTGGGATGCTCTTCCCTCAGATAGACATGTCCCTCTGTCCCTCGCCTTTCACATTTTTGCTCAGACATCGCCTTTTTATGGAGGCCTTCGCGGCCGCCTGAGTTAATATTCAGTTACCCCTCCTGCCCCACCTCACGCTGCCTACCTTCCTTCCTAGCATTCTCTCACTCCTTAGATTCTTCCTCTTCCAGTTTACTATATAAATTGCCTAGTGACTGTCTCCTCCAACCAGAATGTAAGCTCCATGAGGTCAGGGATTTTTGCTGGGTTTGTTCACCCTTCAGTCTCCCTTCACCAGATAGATTCATGCCTGGCACGAGGTAGAATGCTTTGCATGAATGCGTGCACACAAACACATGCGTGCACACACACACACTCCTTCACCATTGTATACACTCATGTGTATGGCCAGCCACATATTCACACCCAGTCTTATTAACCCACAACCTACATTCCCAGACAAACATGCACTGAGGTGCCTGCCCACGTCCCTACTGTACACACACACATGTACACACTGCCACATACACCCTCCCCTGAGTTGTGGGGAGGGAGGGAGAGAACGAGTCCTGGGGTACCCTGCAAACAAGACTCCTGACCGCTTGGCCCTGTTCTTCCTGTCTGCAGCTGCCTACGCAGTGCAGTCCTGCAGCGTGCTCACAGGGGAGCTGTTCGCACCCTGCTCTGCATACCTGAGCCCCCTGCCCTACTTCGAGCAGTGCCGGCGGGACACCTGCCGCTGCGGACAACCCTGCCTGTGTGCCACGCTGGCCCACTACGCCCGCCTATGCCAGCGCCACGGGCTCCCTGTTGACTTCCGTGCCCACCTGCCAGCCTGTGGTGAGTGCCCCACCCTGTGCACCCATGTGTGGATGGACTGGAGGAGCCTGAGCTCCAGACTCAAGTGTCCATGCTCTCTACACTCTCTGCTGGGATATTCCCCAGTCTCCTGCCACCTGACTCTCCCCCTCTTGCCCTCCTCTCCATGCCTGCCAATGGCCCCATCACGTCAGTCACCCAGGCCTGACACTTGGGACATGTGACTCAGGGCTGTTCCTCTTACCCTCACCTGCAATCCATCTCCAAGTCCTAAGTCCTGCCAATCCCAAATTCACCCACTACTCACTACCTCCACTGCCACCACCCTAGTCAGAGCCACCTTCCCATTGCAGCCAGAATGAGCTTTCTAAAGATCACTGGCTCCATGGCCCTTGTGGTTGAGTGTACATGTGCCCAACCCCACCCCAACCCCAGCTACACATCTCCCCATGTCTTAGTCCTCTCTGTGCCCTCAGCCCCAGTGCAGGGACCACCCCTCAGTCAGCTTTTAGTAAATGTTTGGGTTGACTAAATGAAAAGGTACTGCATGGGGAGTCAGGAGGCCCGAGTTCTATTTCACCTCTGGAGGTAACTTGCTGTGTGTCCCTGGGCAAGGCCCTCTTCCTCTCTGAACCAGTTTCTCCAGAGGTGATTGAGCAAGACCAGTGGATCTTAACTCTGGCTGCACATTAGAATCATCAGGATAACTTTAAAAATGCACATATCTGGGTCACATCCAACTGAAACAACATATCTGGCAGTAAGGTCCAGGCATCAGCATTTTTTAAAAGCTCTCCAGGTGGCTTTGATGTGCAGCCTGGGTTGAGACGACTGAGCTTGACAGTGGATCTTTTGGCTTTGACAGAGCGTGGGAGACCCCTGGGGGAATGGGATGGTGGCCAGATGAGGAGAGGGTAGCCCTGAGTCTTGGGACAAAGGGCCCCTAGAGACTGCTAGAGAGAGCACACTTGATCTTCACAGCCTGTGTGTGTGATAGCCACTGGGGTGAGAGGTGTGGAAGCTTGTGTGTATCCACACACCTGTGTGCATGCATGTGTCTGTGTGAGTAATGGGGTGGGTGCTGGGCCATTAGGGGATGGTGACCTCTACCCTCCCCTAATATTACTACCTAAGAGGATGGTCCTGTGTGGAAAAGGAAACACCTACAGTTTTCCAGGCTGAGCTTGGAAATGGGGCCCTCCACTGCTTTGCCATTCCAGTGGAGTGAGAGACAGAGGGACTCTGGAGTCAGGCCTGGGTTCATACTCCAACTCTGACCTTGACCTGTTATGTGAGCTTGGGCAAGTGTCTTAACTTCTCTGGGTCTCAGTTCTCCTCATCAGGATGACAGCCCCACCCCACAGAGTAGTGGAGAAGGAGATAAAGCACATGTCCCTTTCCCACTGCAGCACTGTCCTGTGAGGCCACCAAGGAGTATAGCCCTTGTGTGGCCCCGTGTGGACAAACCTGCCAGGACCTGGCCCATCCTGAGGCCTGTGTGGTTGATGGTAGCAGTGACCTCAGCAGAGACGAGTGTGTGGAGGGCTGTGCCTGCCCACCAGACACCTATCTGGACACCCAGGCTGACCTCTGTGTCCCCAGGTGAGTGGGCGTGCTTGACCTCTGAGTTGGGTAGGGAGATAAGGCTTGGAGTCTCCATGGCATCTGAGGCTGGGGAGCCTGACTGGGTCTCTCATGCCCCTACATCTTCTCATAGTTGGAGGCCAGACCTTGGTGGATAAGGTGGGTAGGCGGGTGGCTCCGTCTGAACGTCCCTCTCAGGTCTCTCCTCAGCTTTGGCTCTTCAGGCCATTCCAGCTGGCTTCCCCACAAGACGGTACAACCTCCAAAAGTCAAGAGGGCCTCTCTCCCCTCATCTCCCCTCTCCTTCCACAAGTATTTACTGACTTCCTAGTAAGTTCCAGCCTTTTTAGGCCCTGGGAACTCAGCAAGGAGTGAAACAGAGTCCTGCCCTCATGGAGCTCATACTCTAGGATGGTGAGACAGATAAACAGACACGTAACACTGATGGGCCAGTGGTAACAAGAGCTACAAAGTCAAGTAGGGCAGAGTGAGAACAGGGAGTCCTGTCACTGTTGTGTTACGTGAGGGGAACGTGGAGGAAGGCCTTCTGCTCAGGTGATGTCTGAGCAGAGACCTGACAGAAGTGAGGACAGAGTGCTCCAGGCAGGGGATGACTGAGGCCCGCTGGAGGAATGTCCTAGTGCAGCTGGAGGGTGGAGTGGGAGGTGGCGGCCCCACATGGTCCAGGTGACTGGCAGGGCTCTTGGTCCCCTCCAGGCTTCTGTAAAATGGTGTAACATTCAATTTGAGCTGAAAATGCTGTAACATTCAATTTGAGCTGAAAATGCTGTAACATTCGATTGGTGGTTTCCAAGTGGTGGGGGGCTGGGGAGAGGTCCCTTTAAGGGATAAATAGGAATCACTCAGGGGCCTTTTCAAACTACAAAATCCTCCCTTGAAATCCAGATGTGCACCCTGCCCCCACCCACATTGAGTGTCACCCACAAAGGAGGCCTCTGTGGGCTCTGGGGGTGGGGAGGAGGCTGTCGAGAAGCACCGAGGTGGGAGGAGTGCAGGCGGCCCTTCCGGCCTCGTGCTCTGCTCCTAGGCCTGCATTGTCACCCACAAAGGAGGCCTCTGTGGGCTCTGGGGGTGGGGAGGAGGCTGTCGAGAAGCACAAAGGTGGGAGGAGTGCAGGCGGCCCTTCCGGCCTCGTGCTCTGCTCCTAGGCCTGCACGTGCAGGTTCTGTGGGAGATGTGTGAGGAGGAGACACAGCCTCTGCCCTCAAATGACCTACACAGAAGAATCGTGAGATGGCATGGGAATCCCTACCTTATAAGATCCCTGTGAGAAAATCAATGAGATCTTGTATGTGGAGGTGCCTAGCTGGGTGTCCCTGGCCAGGTGTCAAAAATTTTAACAACCAGTGGGGCATAGGCACTTATCAGTCAGTAGGTGCTGGGTGTGAAAGACCAGTACAGCTGCATCAGGATGCAATGCCAGCTGTCTCGGGCCTGGCATGGGCACAGGAAGTGGTGGTCCTGTTCTTAGTGCCACTCCCTTCCTTGTTCCAGATGAGGCTGGCCTTGGGAGTGTATGGAGAGCAGTGAGGTATCCTCATCTAAGTTTGGTAGATGGCCGCTGAATCTGGTACCCAGCCCTGACCTCTGTCCTTGGTTCCAGGCTGGCTTCCCCACTCCCTGAAGAGGTGTCACATGTCACAGCAGATGCTGTTACTTCTCTCTGTGTCCTTATGCCCTTGGCTGGCTATGGATGGGCCCTGTCCTTGGCAGTCTCTGCCTTAGCTCCTGAGTCAGCTTGCCTTTCTCTGTTTCTGGTTTTTATAGGAACCAGTGCTCCTGCCACTTCCAAGGAGTGGACTATCCCCCCGGAGACAGCGACATCCCATCCCTGGGCCACTGGTGAGCTCCCTAGGTGGCAGCCTTGCTGTGCTTTCTAAATAGAGGCTGCTGACTGAAGACAATGAAGCTGAGTGGAACTTTACACAAAGTGACACCCACCCCCCACTCTGTGCAGGGAGTGGGGACAGAGTGAAGATGTCTGTCTGAACCCTGCAGTGACCTGAGTGCAGTGATGCGGGTCCTGCAGTGAGTGGGTGGGCTAACCCCAGTGCCACTGTCTCTCTCTGTAGCCACTGCAAAGATGGAGTCATGAGCTGTGACAGCAGAGCCCCAGGTAAGGATGACTGGAAGGGTGGGGCCCTTCTGGGACTCCCTGTGGTAGCAGAGTTATAGAGAGGAGACTGGGGAGCTCAAGCATGACCAGGATGAGGAGAGCCCACCCCAAGTCTTGCCCTACACTGGGCCTTCTGTGTTTGTCACCCTCTTGGCAAAGGCTCCAGCTTGGAGGGTGGCATCCTGAAACCCTGTCCCAGCCTCAACCCCACCCTATCAACTGTCCTTTCTACTTCAAGAGGAGAGACTAAGACTGTCTCCCTCAGGGACAACCACCTGGGGTTTCTGGACAGTTTCTTGACCTCCCTTGGGTCTTGGATTGCCTCGTTCTAAGCTGTGAAATATCTGTTGAGGCCATCTAGACCCAGCCCGGCACTGGACACGGGGTCACAGAGATGGAGAGTGCAGTCAGGGCCTTTGAAGCTCTCCCAAGCAACACAGATGGGAGCAGGGGTGGAAAGGTGGTGGTCAACCTGCGAGGAGCTTGGAGGTGGGGTAGAGCTTGGGAGCTGGAGCATTTAGGGGAGGTCTCCCGGGATGGAGGAGCCCACTAAGGATACAGATTAGCACAGATGGCACAGGAGCATGATCGTATGCAAGTGGTTAAGAGCAGAGCCTCCAGGGTCAGACAGCCTGGGTTCAAATCCTGCCCAACACTCACTAGCTATGCAGCCCCGAGCAACTCCCTTCACCTCTCTGAGCCTCCATTTCCTCTTTTGTATATAACCTAGATTCCCACATCCTCCCTACATTTTGTGTATGTTCCTGAAAGTGTTTTTCTTTTGGTCACTTCTGGCTTTGGATTTCTGCCTCTTTGGGGCTTTCATCTTACCTCCTGTGGCTATTCCTTTCTCTGTGCTCCATCCCAGCCTGGATATGGAACTGGACTCCCCTTTACTGACTTCCCTAAAAGGATCACTCACACCAAGCATGAATGTGCATGGCAGAATTTACTGAAGGTTTGGGGAGAGAGGGTGGGTTTATGTCACGGAAACAGGTAATGGGAAGTTGACTGTCCCTGTTGTTGAAGTCCTCTGGCTGCCCTGCCACACTGCTTAGCTATCCTTTTTCTAGCTCCTCTCCTGGTTCCTCTGGTCACTTCCTCTCATTTCATGATGCCTTTTGAAGGCAGAAGTGGCTTCACTCCATTATATGGGAAACGGGGGATAATAATACCTCACAGAATAGTTGCAGGATTAAAGAAGATAATGCAGGGGAAAGTGCCTGGAACAGCACCTGGTCTGGAGGACATGTTTAGGAACTGGCCCTTGTGGGGTGCTGCTGTTGTGTGAATGCACACACCCATCCCTTCCCCTGTGTCTGGGACCCTACGCAGTGCACCAGGAGCAGCCAGGGTGTGAGTAGGCAGCTGAGTCCATCTCTCCCTACATCCTTGGGCCACAGGACCCCCAGGCCTCCCTGGCCACCCCTGCAGCCCAGGAGCCCACCCCATGCCTGGTGCTCCAGAGCCTGCCTCCTTCTCTTCTAGCTGCTGCCTGCCCTGTGGGCCAGGTCCCTGTGAACTGCAGCCACCTGCATGCTGACCCTGAGCTGAGCAGAGAGAGGACATGCGAGCAGCAGCTGCTGAACCTGAGTGTGCCAGCCCAAGGCCCCTGCCTCTCAGGCTGCGCCTGTCCCCAGGGGTATGTGTCCATGCTGCTGGGTCTCTCACCCCCGAAGGCTGGCAAAACCAGGGACCTCGGGGGGCTGGGGGGAGGGGAGCAGAGAGGAGCAGTAGGGGGAGGGCAGAGAAAACCTCGCCCAGCCTTGCAGGCAGGCAGTAGCTCAGAGCTGGCCAGTGGTGGCCGTAATGGCCAGTGAGGAGTCTGGGAAAGAGCAGGAGCTTGGGGAGCCAAGCTGGAATGGATTCCACGGGGCTCTGCTTCTCACTGAATGTGAGGCCTTGGACGAGGAAGGGGCCTAGAGAGGCTCAGTTTTTCATCTATAAAGTGGGAATAACAATACTACCTCCCAACTTAACAGGTTGTTGTGAGGATTCGGTGAGGTGCTGAAGTGGAAGCTCAGAGTGGGTGTCTGGCATGCTCTAGAGGAACAATGGGTTGAGACCGTGCCCAAGAGAGGAAACCATGTTTCAGCTCTCAGCCTCTTTCCCTGCACAGATCTGAACAGAGTCCTCAGGTGGGGGCTGGTTCCCCTGTAAGATTCAAAAAGAAAAGCCCCGCCCTGCAAAAATAGTCTTTCTTCTGGGTCCCTGAAACATTCGGGTGGCTGAGGGGCCTGGCGCCCAGCTCTGCCCATTCTCATTCCCAGGTCTAAGCCAAAACCAGTTGGGCACCTCATCTCATGACTTGGCAGCTCTGTTCTGTGCCCTTCAGCCTGTGCAGAGGTTAGTGGTCAGCTGGGAGTCCTAGCCCAGGCCTGGCAGCCAGAGAAAATGAGATAGAGTCAGGGCTTCGAGGGTGGGAAGGGGAGGGGACAGTCAGTTGGAGATTTACTGTTTATAAGACACTTTGATGTTGTTACCCTCTTCAATCTCAGAGCAACCATGGGAGAGAAGAGGGGAGAATCATTATTCCCATTTTGCAGATGAAGAAACTGAGGCAAGGGGGAGGGTGGAGGGAAGTTGTCTGCGTAAAGAACTATGACTCAAACCCAAATCTCCTTTCTCCAAATCCTGCCCCTTGCCCAGAGCATGCTGGCTCCATGAGGTCTAGAGTCTTGTTCCCTCCGCAGCATGGGTAGGTGATGAGCCTGCCCCTTCCCAGGAAAGAGCATCCACAGGAGAACCTGCACAGGATCCTAGGCCTGACCACCTGCTGCTGCCTAGGCCCCAGGGGAGCTTGTGAAGAGTCTCTTTGTCACTGAAGGCTTCTTGTGGCACCATCCTGTGTGCACAGCCTGCCTCTTGGCCTGAGGTCAGGAAATGCCAGGGTTTCTGGGGTTGAGAACCAAGGGTCACTCACTGCCAAGCATGGTGGCAAGGCCACAGAGGCACAGTGGGAGGAGCACTGCACTGGAGGCTGGGAGATCTGAGCTCTGTGCTCAGTTCTGCCGACACCTCATTGTGTGCTGTATTAAATTCCCTATTTTAAGCTTACGCACATCACACAGGGGCTTATCCTTGGGAAGTTGTTATGTTCTCAATTTGTAAGGGAAAGGTGGGCATTGCCTATGATCCTGGCATACTCCTGTGCTGGGATAGGACTGACAAAGATGCTCAAGTACCATTCCTAACAACCCCTGCCTAGGACCCTTAGTGCCCTCAAGTGCCATGCTCTCCATAGTGTATCTGAGAATCCCTGGGTGCTGCGTCTTGCTGCAAAGGACCCTGGGGCCACTGCAGGGGTCTGAGGAATTTCTGTGCCCCTCTCTATTTCTTTGCATCTGGGTGTTGAGCCAAGGGCCCTGGGGCCACGAGGCAATGAAGCACAGTGGTATGAGCACAGGCCCTGGAGTCAGGCTTGAATCCTGGCTCTACCACTTACTAGGTGAGTTAGTTAACCCTCGTTTTTAAAATGGCACAGAGTAAACACTCCATGTGAGCAGACAGCATTTTCTTTCCTCATCTGCATCTCATGTATTTGCAAATGCCCCCCTCTGAAGGGGGCCCTGGAATGAGAGGGTACCCTAAAAGGTGAGGGGAGGGTACTCTACAAATTTAGAGCACTTTGAGGACAGAAGCTGAAGTCTTTGCATGCTCTTCCCTATGGTGGGCACACAGAAGGTGCTCAGGGACACAGGCAGGTTTGCCAAAGGCAGGGAGCACCACTGCTTCAGCCCCGTCCAGCAGGAAAAAGGTGGCAAGAGTTTCTATAGGAACCAAATCAGAGACTTTGATCTCAGAGGCACCAGGAGGGGTAGATGCGTAGTGGAAAAAGGGAGATTAAGTGAAAGCCAACTGGGACCCTAGCCCTCTTCCCCAGCTTTGTTCCCAGGATGGTGACATCAAAGCTTTTGCCTCCCAGGCCCAAGATGAAAGAGGATTCTTTCCCTGAAAATTGACTGAGCCAAGAGAAAAAAGCTACAGAAACTGAAACTTTGGGGGACTCCCCAATAAAATGGTTGGTTCCCTTTAAATATGGAGCCTCCAATCAGCTTTTAGTACCTCACTGTTTTTTTCTTTTAATTTTTAAGAGTCATAATTTATATACAGTAAAATGCACAGATCCCAAGTAAACAGTTTGCTAAGATTTGACAAATTTATACCCTCTTGCGACCACACCCCTATCAGGATATAAAACACTTCCATCACAAAAATTCCCTCATGTACATGCCCTTTCCCAGTTAATTCTGCCCCCACCCCCACCACCATTGTACTGCTTCGTTTCAGCATAGATAGCTTCTGCCTGGATAGAATCATATGGTATATCTTTTTCAAAAAAATTTATTATTTTTTCATTTTACATGTTTATGGGATACAGTTTGTTGTTTCAATATGTGCATATATAGTGTAATGATCTGATTAGAATAGTTATCATATCTATCACCTAAGCATTTATCATTTTTTTGTGGTTACAACATTCAAGATCCTCTTTTCTGGCTATCTTGAAATATACAATACAATATAATTAGCTAATTCAGCCTAAGGCACCAGAATTTATTCTTCCTATGTAACTGTAACTTTGAAACTTTGTACCCATCTACCATCCTCTTCCCGGCCCCCCCTACCACCTCCCCTTTCCTGCCTCTGGTAACCACTATTCTACTCTGTATTTCTCTTTTTTTCCTCCCTTTTAAATTTATTTTTCTTAATTGACTCACAATAATTGTATATATTTATAGAGTACAATATGATATTTGGGTGAGTTCATGCTGTATGCAGTGATCATATCAGGGTGCTTAGTATATCCAGCGCCTCAAACATTTGTCATTTCTTTGTGTTAGGAACATTCAACATCATCTCAACTAGCTATTCAGATTCACAGTACTTTGTTGTTACTGTCGTCTCCTGATATTACTATAGAACAGTAGAGCCCATTCTTCCCATCTCCCTACATTTCGTATCCACAGGCCACCCTCTCCCCCTCCCCCTCCCCCACCCTCAGTCTCTAGTAACCACTATTCTACTTGCTAATTCTATGAGATCAACTTTTTTAGTTTCCATGTGAGTGAGAACATGTGAGAAAGAGAACATTCTCTTTCTTTGCCTGGCTTATTTCACTTAACATAATTTTCTGCAAGCTATCCATGTTGCTGCAAATGGCAGAATTTCATTCTTTTTTATGGCTGAGTAGTATTCCATTGTGTATATACACCACATTTCCCTTATCCAGACATTCATCAATGGACATTTAGGTTGGTTCCATCATATCTTGTCTATTAAAGTCTGTTTTATCTGATTTAAGTATAGTTACTCCTGCTCACTTTTGTTTTCCATTTGCATGGTATATCTTTTTCCATCCCTTCACTTTCAGTCTGTGTGTATCTTTGTAGGTAAAGTGTTTCTTGTAGGCAGCGTATGGATGGGTCATGTTTTTCAATCCATTCGGCCAGTCCATGTCTTTTAATTGGGGCATTTAATCCATTTACATTCCAGGTTATTATTGACATGTGAGTTCTTACTCTTGTCATTTTGTTGGTGGTTATTCTGATTGTTTTGTGTATCCTTTGTTCCTTTCTTCCTCTCTTATTGTTTATCCTAGTGGTTTGGTAGTTTTCTGTGATAAAATTTCATTCCTTTCTCTAATTTGTGTGTCTACTCTACCAGTAAGTTTCATATTTTCAGGTGTTTTCTGATGATTATTGTTGTTCTTTCTCTTCTAGATGTAGGACTCCCCTAAGAATTTCTTGTAAGGCTGGTCTGGTGGTGATGGATTCTCTTAATATTTGCTTGTCTGAGAAATACTTTATTTCTCCTTCGTTTTTGAAGGATAGCTTCGCTGGGTATAGTATTCTTGGCTGGCAGTTTTTTTCTCTCAGTACTTTGAATATACCATCCCTCTCTCTCCTGCCCTGTAGGGTTTCTGCTGAGAAGTCTGCTATTAGTCTGATGAGTAATCCTTTATAAGTGACTTGACGTTTTTCTCTTGCTGTTTTTGGAATTCTATCTTTGTCTTTAACTTTGGATAGCTTGACTACAATGTGTCTTAGAGATTACCTATTTTGGTTGAATCTATTTGGGGACCTTTGAGCTTCCTGGATTTATATGCTTGTATCTTTTCTAAGACTAGGGAATTTTTCAGCTATTATTTCATTAAAGAGGTTTTTAATATCTTTTTTGTTTTCTTCTCCTTCTAGAATGCCCATAATTTGAAATTTTGTTTGCTTAATAATATCCCAGATGGGCTGACCCAGTGGCTCACTCGGGAGAGTGCAGCGCTGGGAGCACAGTGGCGCTGGGAGCACCAAGGCCACGGGTTTGGATCCTATATAGGGATGGCTGGTGTGCTCACTGGCTGAGTGCAGTGCAGGCAACACCAAGCCAAGGATTACAATCCCCTTACCAGTCCCCCCCCCAAAAAAAATAATAATAATATCCCAGAGATCTTGTAAGCTTTGTTGATTCTTTTTTATTCTTTTTTCTTTGGCTTCCTGTGTTATTCCAAAACTGCTGTCCTCAATATTAGAAATTCTTTCTTCTGTTTGATCTAAACTGTTGTTGAGACTCTCAGATGTATTTTTTATTTCATTCAATGAATTCTTTAATTCTAAGATTTCTGCTTTTTTTTAATAATGTCTATCT